CCATCTGCTGGGATCACAGAAAAACCTGCTCAGTGGCCCATTCCTGCCTTTACAACCACTTTTCACAACTTGCCCTTTCACGAATATTTCAAGTTATCTTTTATTTAGCCAACCATGATCCCAACACCCATCCTTCAACTCCACTGCCTGCAGTTACACACAGTAAATGTGAAAACACACACCAGACTCTTCTCCTCCACTTTTATCCTCCACCTGCTCAGTAATGATTGACACACAATAGGTAAACGCAGGGGCCTGGCCCAGGTGTTCTAGATAACTACAGGGGGGAGTGCTGGCTTGAGCAAAATGCCACAACAGAAGAGGGGGAGCTTTACTAGTGACAGTAAGCAGGTGGAAAGCGAGCACTATAGAAATGGGTTATGTTTTAGAGAACCCTGGGGAAAAAAACTTTAATAGTCACTTTATAATTTAGGAATAGATACAGAGAAGAGGTATTTTATAAAGTTCAATTCTAATGCAACTTTAGGCCCTTACTGAATGTTGATCCTGAACTGAGCCACTGAATGCTGGTGATGTGTAAGTTTGAAAGAATATGGAATCACTGTGATAAGAAAATAACACTATTGGGTCTCCCCGGTGGCGCAGCGGTTGAGCACTGGGTTGTGAAGCTGCCCGCAGCCTCTGCGGCGCCGGTTCGATCCCCGGCTGCTCCCCGGCCACCGGAGGAGGGTCCCGCATGGCACGCAGACCTCTCCTGCCGCCCGCTGCTCCCCTCAGCAGTGTGTTTTGTTGGTTTGCCTGTTCTGCTCTCCGCTCTGGCTCTGGTGAATTCTCTCACCCTCCCGCACTTCTGACTGTAACCAGTGCATGTATAAATGAACAAACAAACAAACAAATAAATAAAACATGCCTCTATAAAAAAAAGGAAAAGAAAAGAAAAAAGAACACTGTTGGTAATACAACAAAGGTGGAGAGTAAGAACTGGGGTATTTTGATGATTATGGAGGCATCAAAGCCTAGCCAACTTAAGTACACTGGCAAATTCTTAGATGTTTGACTTTGTGAAGGTCACTTAATGTCTCCAAACATTACTTTTCACATTCATTAAATTAGGATAATATTTTAGAATACTTTTGTGAGAAACTGGCACATATAAGCACAATGACCAAAGCACAATAAGCACTCAGCAATAAACCCAGCAATTATTAATATAATGAGAATCTAAACAGGTAGCTATAAGGGACTTCATACATCTCCAGCTGCTATGTATCTCACTGTGGTATGCCAAATAATGCCTTCCATAGAATGCCACATCCTAATTCCCAAACCCATAAATATCTTCCTTACATAGTAAAAGAGACTTTGCAAATGAGCTCAAACTAAGGAGTTCAAGATGAGACTAGTATAGGTTACCCAGGTGTAGGATAAGGTAAGAAAGTATCAGGCTTTTCTGCCCTCTCTCCATCAGGATAGATGATGGGTCCCTGTGGTCCTGAATGCATGCCTGATGGCGGGCACCTGGAATAGGGTGTGGGCATATGTAGATGGGATTCACCTGGGCTAAGACTGGGCTTTTAAGGGCGGCGTCACAGGAACACCAGTATAGCAGAGAGCAGAGCCGCAGAACCAGAGAACACCAGAGAGTCCAGACAGAGTGAAGACTTGCTGGGGGCTGGGAGCCCTGCCAGCCTCCCGGCCCCCTGGCATCCCTGTCTGCTGTGTACCCAGTAAAATCCCAATAAAAGCCTGCAAAAGCCACTGAGGGCTCCAGGACTCCTCCTTTACTCCATCTGCTCGAGTCATAGAGATCCTGCACTGTCTCTTCCTGCCTCTACACCCAGGTGAGTTCAATGTAATCGGAAGACTCTTAAAAGGAGACTAGGAGGGAGAAGAGTGAGGAGTGACGACAATGGAGGGAGGTCAGGGCGATGCAGAGGGGGCAGGATGGCCGCTAGAAGCTGAAACACAGTGAAGCAGATTCTCCTAGAACCTCCAGCAGCCCTGCTAACCCACCTTAGAATTCTGGCCTCCATAGCCATAAGATAGTGTGTTGTTTTAAGTGACTAAGTTTTGGTAATGTTATGGCATCAATGGAAGGCAAGACATTTAAAAGGAAAGATCTGGCTTTTAAATTTTTTGCCCTGAATTTTCAGAAAGAAAGAAGTACTATGGAGTGATATAAAGTGGAAAAGAATGTTTGGTTTAGAGAAAATTTCATTTTTACGAAAATTTCACAGGCATGCAATTTTTTAAACTAAAAACAGAAGGTTGACTGTGACATGGGATGTTGCTGTTACAGCAAAACCAGCATGGAATGGAGTAGACAATAGCTGTTCATGTGTACTGAGGGCTTACCATATATTGTGCATCATTTTAAAGTCTATTTCTTTGTTTAAGAATCTCTGTGATAGTTCTCCTTAGCTACTGAGTTGAAATAGAAATTTCTAAGGTCTCTTTTATCTCTGAAGTCCTCACTTAACCCACAAATGGAAAACACAAGTTACTTAACATCAGTAGTCCACAAGAAGATTCCTTTCCTAGTTTTCTGGGTAGGAACTTGCCTGCTATTCATATTCTACCACTAGATGGCAAAGCTAGCCTGGTAATAGCAAATCTGAAGTCTAGCATTTCAATGTTCACAGTGGCTGAGCTGTAAAATAGAAATTATTTTAAAAGCCTGTAGGATTCAGAAGGGGGAGAAGCCTAGCTGGCTAACAATATACTAAATGGTTGTCACATGTGGAATTTATCACATTTAGAAAATCCACCTACAGGCCACAGACCCCATCCTGATGAACTGAAGGCTGATAATGCTGTCTACATCCAGACAATTCTCTGGCAGGTGGTTTTCCAAACACAGCTGCAGTGCCAGCACACTTCCACTATGACCTACAGCACTGCTAAATAGTCCCCCAAATGTGCTGCAATTCACTTCAACACGAAGGAAAATCTTCAACCTGCCAAATATTTCACATATGTTTATCAAATATTTTATAATCCACTCCCAAAGCCAACCTCTCCACTGATTCTCTGCTGAAAATAAACAGCAAGAAAGTTCATTGACAATGGGCCAATTCCTGTTCAAAATATCATACCACAGCACTATTTTCAAGTGGAGGTTCAGGAATGGAGACAAAGTAATGTCTGCTTTAAAAGTTTGGCAGTACTCGAGGGAAAGGGAGATGATAAAGTTACAGTTGATTATTTTACAGTAAACTTCAACTTCTGTTTCTCATCACAATAAAAAAATCAAACCCCTGTTTGTATTTTAGCTATTTTTCCAGGACATATATATCTCAATTTGTGCAATGGCTATGCTGTGTATGAATTAAATTTGGGGTGAACGGTACTAAGGGAGTCTCCAGGGAACTGTTGGTTCTCTCACACTGACATAGGAAGTGTGCAACACATGGCTCCAGCTTATTTTTATATCCTGCAAGTTGGCTTTTGAAAAGCAAAGTAAATCTATAAATACATTAGATCTGCTTTTTCAGGCCTTAAAGTATCTTATGAACACAATGTTTGTAGCCAACCGTCCATCAGTTTAACCTATCTGAAGCTTTAAAAAAAAAGTTTAGTTAAGGCAAGTAATAAAATAACTTGTATACCACTTCTATGCTCTGAATCTCAAACTTCTCATCTGCAAAGTAAATTCATCCCTAGGTGAGCTAACTTCAGCCTCCAAAATTCTGTATCTGATCCTGTTAAAATGCAGTATGCCTGCCTTGGATATTTGAGCACTGTGCAGAGAAAGACAAAAAAATTTACTCAATAGGGAAAATTAACTCACACTAGTAATTGTTTATCTAACAAGCACATATTATACAATGAACTAAGCCAAGTAATCCCACACTTAAAAACATGAAAAAGTTCCTTAAAGTGTATAGATTTCTAAGCTGTTTGGAAGAAAAACCCAAAGAAGTCTCCAAATCCTAACCTCTTCTCACACTAAAGAAACTCCTCTAATATTTCCTAATAAAAATAAAATTCCATATGATGCTTGGCCACTACTTTCAAGCCTACATGTCTTATTCGGCTGGAATTTTAACATTCTTCTAAATTATAAACCAGGTCCTAAGCATAACTCTCCAAGCAGCAAAATGTGACTTTTACTACCCTCTGTAGAAACAAATGTACTTGAAATAAAAAAATTTAGAAGTCAGAAGGGTTCATAAAAGGGAGAAAAAAAAACACCTAGATAAGACAGTTTCTTTTCAAATAAAGGACAGTGTTAAAGGTCCAAAGGAGTGTTTGTACAGCTTTTCAAATCTTATTATAGAAAATTTCCAACTATACCGAAGTAGAGGAGAAATTATTTTAAAGTACACCAAAATCAAGGGGAAGTATTTTAAAATAGAGAATCAACTTCAAGTATCAATATTTTGCTAATCTTTTTTCACCTACCTCACCCCTTTTATCTGCTAGGGTATTTTAAAGCCACTTCAGGACTTGCCAATTTCAGTTCACCTTCCCATTTTAAAAAATGTTTTCCCTGCTCTTTTTTGATGACCTGTGCAGCCAAGTTGATGAGAGATAAAAGTAAAAGGGAGGAGCCGGTGTCCTGTCAGAAAGGAAATTTAATATATTTTAAATTATTTTAAAAGAAATTCAAAATCTTATCCTTTGATTTTCTTCGGAGATGCTTTCTGGAGGTCAGCGGGCTCTAGCTTTCATAATAACGCTGCCAGAGAGGCTTTCAAGGAGAGCAGACTTTCCAGGAATGCCCTTTACACCTTTTCAGTGGCATCTGTGCATCATAAAAACAAAGAGGACCCCTTCCGGTGCTGCTTAAGGAAGAATTCCTCCTATATTCCAATCAAACAATGTTACTGTCAGTATTAAACTGTGCAGAAGCTGAAACACAGAACTGCCTTTTGGAGGAATTTTGGAGGAATCGAGTTTTTTTGAGGACTTTGAAGTGCAAAGTTCAATCCCTGCCTTTAGAACACTTCAAAGCAACTCTCCTCCCGTGCGTCCTGCTGTATGGGAGAAACCTCCAGGGTCTAGGGTCTTGTCCTGTCCGGGGGCTCCATCCTTACCTGTGAAAGCTTATTCGGTCCAGGGGAGCGCTCCCTAGCTCGAGAATCAAAGAGCCACCAAAGCGGCCACCAATACTGCAGAGAGAGGGAGGGTAGGGCCGCCGCTGCCAAGAGCCCCGGGGACGCCAGAGCGGGAGGCGCCACCGCAGCCAGCACCACCGGCAGCTCCGGGGAGAGACTGAGCTGGAGGCAGAGCTGAGCATTGGAGCGGCTAGGAGGGAAGATGGGAGGGGAAAGGGGGCGATGCTGAGGCTGAATGGATGCTGTGGGAGGAGGGAGAAAGAGAAGGAACCTGCCCTCGCTGGTGGGAGGGGAGATTTTCTTAGAGGTGCGTAAATGCGCAGACAACCTCTCACTCCATCCAACCTCTCACTTAATCCCCTCGGAGGGGAGTAAGCTTTAGGCAAAATTTATGAGTGGGTTCACAAGAGATGCCTGTCCCCATGATGCTATGCAAGTCTTACGTAGTCTCAGTAGCTGTAAAGTAGGGGGTGGGGTGTCCAGAAGTTGTTCTCTGCGTCTCATTTGCTAGGCATCTAGAAGAGCTGGGTTTCCTCCAGCATCCCAAGCTGGTATCTCCCAGCGACCTTGTTTGCCGGGACACACCCCTCCTTAGAGCAAACCCAGCTGGTGCCAGTGCCCCGTGTGGGAGCCTCCTGCAACCCCAGTTATCCGCCAGCACCCTCAGCCCCCCTGCAGACCTGTGACTGCGGCCTGGGAGGTGGGATCGCCCTGTGAGCATCCTGTGCCTCCTTCCGGGGGAGCACATCAGGTTCTGTTTCTGTCTGTCCCCAGTCTTGGCTTTTTCTGCTTTTGGTAAGTTTCCTTGACCCTCCTCAATCCCACTGGCTTTCTAACCTCATCCACTGGCACACTCTTCATTTTCTCCTCCGTAGAAGAGGTGCTCTTTTATGGGTGCAGACTGCTTTTTGGGTTTTTTGTTTTTTTTTTTAATGAAGATTACTTTTTTTTTTAGATTTATTTATTTATTTATACATGCACTGGGTACAGTCAGAAGCACGGGAGGGTGAGAGAATTCACCAGAGCCAGAGCGGGGAGCAGAACAGGCAGAAGGACCGAAGTACACTGCTGAGGGGAGCAGCGGGCTGCAGGAGAGGTCTGCGCGCCATGTGGGACCCTCCTCTGGTGGCCGGGAGCATCCGGGGATCAAACCGGTGCTGCAGAGGCTGCGGGCAGCTTCGCAACCCAGTGCTCAACCGCTGCGCCACCGGGGAGGCCCCAGACTGCTTTTTGGAGGTAGCCTCATTTCTTCATTGTCTACTGAGCCACTGGGACACGGGTCTGGGGCAAGATACACTGTATTTAAGTACAAAAACCTGGTCTTAACCCTCAAGAAAATGAGATCAAATAAGCACACGTGCATTTAAAGCATGCCCCTTTAACACTTGAGTAGTGGGTCATTGCATTTCTCAAGTTTCCATGCATGTTTTTCAAAAAGTATGAGATCAAAATAGTCACAATTTCTTGCCTTTTTTCACTTAACGTTTTCATATATATACTTACCCATATAATTAAAATGTATTAATAATTTCAAATGGTATAATTTTATTTTTGAAGCTTTCTCACCAATTAGGCCGTATTCTTCATAAGGTCACCACCTTCTGTAGAGCTTGACATATAATGTGTGCTGATTGTTGAACTAAAGTCTTCTAGTGAAATGGAATGTGAGGAAGTTAGGAAAAGCCCACAACTCTGAATACGAAGTCCTGTGCTGGACCTTGGCTTCTTCCTCTCTCCCAAGCTTGGGATTCCAACACCACATAAACCCAGGATGGAGTGTGGATCCACACTCCACAGTCCGAGCCCCTCACTGACATCACCTAAAGTGCACTCACATTTTCAGAACCAGATTCCTGAGCCTTTTTCCTCAAGTCCTCTCAGCTCCCCCTACCCCGCCCCCAACTTCATTGTGTAAGTTTAAGGTGTATAATGTAATTAATTGATACATATGTATTTCTTTAAATATTTACTCTAAGTTTAGTCAACACATCTATATGATACATAACATTTTGTTGTTATGGTAATAACATAAAATCTCTTAGAGCAATTTTCAGGTAAACAATACAGTGTTGTCTACTGTATCATCTACTGTAGCCATGATGCTAAATATTAAATCCCTGAAACTTGTTCATCTTATGATGAAAAGTTTGTATCCTTTGACCTATCTTCCTGTGTTCTCCGCTCCTCAGTCCCTAGCAACCACTGAAATTCTACTATGTATTTATAAAAGTTTGGTTTTAGAGCCCACATTTTAGATCATGTAGTATTTGTCTTTCTGATTTATTTCTCATAGCATAGTGCCCTCAAGCGTCATCCATGTTGTTGCAAATGGCATGTGCGTGTATGTACATGTGTGTATGTGTGTTATATGATTTTTTTTTTATTCATTCATCTCTTGGTGGACACTTAGGTTGGTTCCATGGCTTGGTGATTATAAATAATGCTACAATGGACATGGGGGTACAGATTCATCTTCAAGATAGTGATTTTTATGTTCAGATATCCAGAAGTTGGAATTGCTGAATTATATAGCCTTTTTATTCTTAATTTTTGAGGACTCTCCAGATTGTTTTTTCCATAGTGGCTACACCATTCCCACCAACAGTGCGTGTGGGTTCCCTTTTCTCTACATTCTCAGCAACACTTGTTATTGCTTTTTTTGGTAATAGCCATCATAAGAGGTGTGAAGTGATATTTCACTGTGGTTTTGATATGATTTTCTCTGATAATTAGTGATGCTGAACCCCTTTTCTTGTACTTGTTGACCATTTAAATGTCTCCTCTGGGAAAACACTTATTTAATGAATCTGTTTAATGAATGTTAACTGAGAAAATAACAAGTTTTCAAAAATGGACCAGAATTAAGAGCGTCTCTGCCACTTTCATCGATAGCTCAGAGAGTAGAGAAGATTATCAGAAGAAACTGGATTTCCCAAAAGGATGACTGAGAGTTAACCTAGAACTATCACAAATATGTGTGAGTATAAAATCTGATGAGGACATGAACTCCAGGGAATGCAAATAGAACAAAAACACTGGGCCCCAACCAGAAAGTCTGTTAGAGGCAGAATTTCAAAGGACATTGCTGGAGGAAAAGACTCTTGTAAAGCTGAATTTATAGATATGTAAATTGAGTCTGAGGGGGCATCTCTAAGTTTGGAAACTCATGATAGCTTTTTGTCTCCTATTATTTTGGTTCTGCAACCAATGATAAATAACTAGAAGACATGAGCAAGTGTTCAATAAAGATTTTTATCAGGGTCAAAATTATCCTGAGCAAGCCACACTTTCAATGATGTGTCCAATCAGGAAAAAAAAAAAAAAGAGGCCATTTCTCCTCCTCCTCCCACATGGCCCCCAGATTACTTATTCAGCTGCTCGTAGAAATGTATTTGAGATAGAGGCTAAGGTTTCCAGCTGATTGCTGCCACCTACAGGCTTATGTGATTTTTTTAAAAAGATTTATTTATGCATACAAGATTTGTTTATGCATACAAGAACTGGGGTACAGACCAGAGGTGTGGGGGGAGGGGTGAGAGGATTCATCAGAGACAGAGTGGGGAACAGAACAGGCAGATTGACTGAAACACACTGCTGAGAGGAGCAGTAGGTGAGACAGGAGAGGTCTGCTGCACCATGTGGGTAGCTCCCTGGCCTGGGATTGAACTCGTGTTGCAGTGGCGGCAGATAGCTTCATAGGTTGTGTCTTAACCCCTTGTGCCATGGGCTTATGTGATTTGAGGCAAGCCTCTTAATATCTCAGTGCCTTTATTCCCAATTTGAAAAGCTGTTGTGCTAGAATTTGCCTGGAAGTATACCTTTGACAGGTGGATATGAAAATGTATATGAATGTCCTTAGCCATGGCCTGGCATATGATAGGTGCTCCAAAAATAAAGCTAGAATTCTAACTCCACAGAACCAGAGAGGTGACCCGTAGAATTTCCTGTAGTGAGGAACATATGGCAGATGTCACTACTTCACTCTCAGGTGTAATCAGAAACCAATGTCTGTACTTCTATGTGATTCCCAAGAGGTGTGATGGACTCAGGGCCTTCTGATGTCAGTTTGTTTCTCTGTTATGCTTTCCCTTTTGTTCTCACTAAATCCCAAGACTGACTAGCTCTAGAGACAAAGCATCAATTAAATCAAACAGACTTTATGTCATTTAAGTTACCTCCTAGAGAATGAACAAATAAATGATCATCAGAGCTCAGAAACATATGAGAGACAGATAGAAGATGTTTCAGATTGTGTTTTTGGTGTAGCTAGCAACTAGGAAGATTACCATGAAAATCCTGTGAAATATTAGGAAATCAGGCAAGTCTGGCCCACATTCCCATCGGTCTGTTGAAACTAAATAGGAGCTAACAAATTAGATGTAGCAGAACTTCTTGGGCTTGACAGTTGTCCTCATTCCTTCTGTGTGCCTGTATCCAGCTTAAATATTGGTTTCCACCATAAAATACATAGAAGGAAATATAGGCGAAACACTACGGGATTTGCATATCAAAGACATCTTTACAGACACATCACCCAAAGCAGTGATAGTGAAGGCAAAGATAAACAGATGGGACTACATCAAATTAAAGAGCTTCTGCACAGCAAAAGAGACAATAACAAAAACAAAGAGAAACCCCACCAACTGGGAGAACATTTTTGCACCCAACACTAATGATAAAGGACTGATCACAAAAATCTGCAAAGAGCTGATGAAACTCAACAACAACAAAGAAAATACTCCAGTCAAAAAATGGGCATAAGAGCTGAAAAGAAACTTCTCTGAAGAGGAAATGCAAATGGCCAACAGACATATGAAAAAATGTTCAACATCACTTGCAATCAGGGAAATGCAAATCAAAACTACCATGAGATACCATCTTACACCAGTGAGAATGGCACATATTAAAAAAACTAGCAACAACAAATGTTGGCGAGGGTGTGGAGAAAAAGGAACTCTTCTGCACTGTTGGTGGGAATGCAAACTGGTCCAGCCACTATGGAGAGCTGTGTGGAGATTTCTGGACCTACTAAACATAGAGCTTCCATATGATCCAGCAATTCCACTCCTAGGTATTTACCCAAAGGACACAGAAACATCCATTCCAAAGAACACCTGCACCCCTATGTTTATAGCAGCACTGTTTACAATAGCTAA